CAATTACATATGTGTGTGTGTATATATATATATGCACACAGATATAATATTCAAAAGAAAAAACAAGTGGAAAAGTATTGTTTTAAAGAGAAAACTGCCTATAACAGAGATCAAATTTTCCTTTTAAAACTGTTTGCAAGTAATTTGCTAGTGCCTTGAAAGGTAAAATACTGCTGACTGATTTAAAGTCTTTACTAATCAGAAACACAGGAATATAAGCTGCTTTGCATAATAAACTGGCACTGTAGGAAAATTTTTTTTAAAACAAAAGGCCATAACAAACCAAACCGTTATTTGTTATTTGAGGTATATACCTTTTCAGTTTTTTAAATCTCTAAGAGGAAAACAGATCATTTTAGAATTATTGCAATTACAATTAAATGCCTCTCTCAAAATAATTTAAATCCTTGGTCTGACATGAATAATCGATAACAGAAAATCCTTAAAACTGGCTTGAGTTAATAAGCCAGATTTAAACCTGGATCTCCTCCTTCAGCACTGCTCTTTTGCCAGTCAACTTCTTACTGTCCTTTGCTTGCAAGTATATAAATAACCTAATACTCTTAGTTTAGTAATTTATTAAAGTAATTTTATTCGATATGAACATTTTAGCTCTGCTTGATTAGATGAAACAGGCACACATGCTTTAGCCGAGAAATTCCATTTTCTGGTTCTATGTAAAGCAGCAGAGAGGGGAAACAGTTACATTTTCAAAAATAGTTAAGCCAGACTGTTTCCTGGAGATACTTCATTTGTTTTTCATTTTCAGATACTGCTGGCTCTTTTTGGTAGGGCTACACGTTACTACTGTCCAGTTTAGCTTTCCTGACTGTTAACAGACTATTCCCCAATGAACCTGCCTCCACACTGCAGACATTGTGGAGATCCTTTAACATATACGTATTCTGAAATATATGCTCAAAGTAAAAAGATTCAAATTCACAAGAGTATGAAATATTTATTTAAAAAATCATGCATCAGATTGTACAATCTAGAAATAAAAGAAGATTCAAATTTGGTAATAAAAGAGCTATTTTCTCTTAACATTTTAAGAAAGACTTTGGAGTCCCAGAATGTCCTGGGGCTCAATTATCCTTCTCCGTTTGCAGAGAAGCAGTAGCTAGAGCTACTGTGACTAGCTGGGCAATTCCATGGAGCTGCATCTTTGCAAGTTTCTTCTGTTCACCATTCTGCTGCACTGTATCCAGTAAGAGTCTTCAAGTCACAGACAAACGTGTACACAAATCTCTCGCCTTGATACAAATCATGCCCCCATTGTAGTAATACCTTAATGCATGACTGAGTTTCTCATAGTTCATCATAGGCTGATTTTTACATTGTCCCCATTTTTGTGCAACCAGTTCAGGCTGATTTAGCTTAAATTCGCCCTTATCACCAACCCAAGAAATAGAGTCTCGAGCATCCTTTATCAGTAAGAAGTTCTAGCAAAAACTGCCATAGTTGAATTTGACCATTTTTTCCTGTTCTGTTCCCAGGCAAGCTTCTATCTTCTCCTGAAATCCTCAGAGCTCTTTGTACTTTAGCTGCCTTTGCACTACCATTTATAACTTTTAATAGTAGTAGGTGTAGGTGTGGTGGATTGCACTGATGTTGGAATAATTTGCACACGTTGATCAGTTGTAACTATTTCATTCATCTGTTGTTCTTGATTTGTCAATACATATTTTCAGAGAAGTTCCAGATGACTCCAGAGAATTTCTCCTGGAGGAACCCACTGAAAAAAATCTTGGTTGGGACTACATAATTCTCTTCTGGAAATGTTGAGTGTGGTGAGGTCTATATCGGTTATGCTGAATTCCTTCATTACCCAACCATCCAATGCAGGACTTTGTGGATCACTGTATGGGATCATAGAATATCCCAAGGCATTCTTGTTCTTTTCTATAGCCTTCCAGTGCAGCAGCCCATCTTGTTTACTTGTTCTGAAGTTTCATCTGAAATGTTTGTGATGTATTCTGTGCCATCAAGAGTTATCACTTGAGCTTCTTTAACAAGATGTGCTTCTGATTCAGCATGGTGAGCATCTGGATCAATAACACCTTCAACAGTGTCCACAGGTTTAACAGTTTCAAGGATGTTTAACTTTGGTTCAATTCCTTGGTAAAAAATTACCTGTACACTAAGCTGTACAGTTCCATCTGTCTTCATTCCTTGGTCAAATAAACTTTGTTCTGGATCCAGCTAGGTGTCTTGCAGGCAAATGTCATGAGCATCCAGAGAACACTGTAGTCTTGGTTCTAGCAGTTTCTTTAAATTGCCTATTGGTTCATTGATGTCTGTGGCCTGGCTTACACATTCAGCTGGTATGTAGGTTTGTTCTACAGTGCTTTCTTCTGTGCACTCTTGTTTCTGTGTTCCATTAATCTCAATTTCTGTCAGCTCCTCTGCTTTTCTTTTAGTCATGGCTGAAGTATTTCAAAGGATCTCTCCCTCCACTTCCTCCTCCTGTTTGGCTTCTGTCTCACCTAGAGCCATCCGATTGCAGACTGTCTCTGAGACGCTTCCTGTCTGGTAAGCGTCAGATGACCATAAACTAGATTATTTTTATGATTTTCCATACAGAGAGTTGTATACTAGCATTTTTTTCCTTTTTATCATTAAGTAAAGCGCATTTTCATCTCATATATTTTGACCTAAAGTCAGATTTTTTCTGAAATAGATACATGAAGCTGCCCTCAAGATTTTCTGTCTTTGGTTTTCAGCACTTTGACTATAATGTGTCTAGGTGTTTTGTTTTAGCATTATTTGGCAAATCTATGGGCTTCTTAGATCTGTGATCTGTTGTGTTTCATTAATGTTGGAAAATTTTTGGTCTTTATCACCTCAGGTATTTCTCCTGCCTTTTTTTTTTCTCGTCTTTTGCCAATTACACATAGACTGTTTGATATTGTTCTGCAACTCGTAAGTTTTTGTTCTTTTTTTGACTTTTTTCTTGGCATGTCCAGTTTGGGTAATTTCTGTCTTCATGTTCACTGATTCTTCTGTGTCCAGTGTGCTAAGTGTGTCCAAGGAATTCTTTATCTCTGATAAAGAATTTTTTTATTTCTAGCCGTATTTTTTATTTCTAGCATTTGACCCTTTCATGATTTCCACCTCTCTCCTCAGATTGTGAATCTTTTTCTGCTTGTTGTCCACCTTTTAAACTAGATTCTTTAACATATTCATCATAGTTATTTTTAAGTTTTCTGTCAGGTAATTCCAGCTGCATCATCTTTGAGTATACTTCTATTGGTTGCTTTAGCTCTTGATGATGAATTTCATTTTTCTCTTGCTTTTCTGTACGGTTCATAATTTTTTATTGAATGCCATACATTGTGTGTAAAGGAACAGAGGAGACTGAAGTAAATGGTATTTACACCCAGAAATGAGGACATCTCTTTTTTCCGTCAGGTTTTTGTTATGAGGCATTGCATCAATTTAGTCAGAAGTGGAGCTGGGTTTGGTTTTTGTTGTTGCCTATACCACAGTCTTCACATACTTCCAGCAATTGACTGCTATTACTTTATGCCTCTTAGAGTGGTGCCTGAGGTGCAAAATATTTATTTTACTTGAGTCCTTTTATTTTGAGCCCTTCTGTGCTATGATGAATCCCCATTTTATTCAGAGTCCTTAATACGATCAGCAAGGCTCTACATGATCTGGTAGAGGGCCAGATAGTAAATCATTTAGGATTTTGTAGGTCACATAATCTCTGTCACAGCTATTTAATTCTGCTGTTTTAAAATGAAAACAGCCATAGACAGCAAGTAAACAAATGAGCAAGACTGTATTCCAGTAAAACTTGATTCACGAAACAGGCAGTGGGCAAGATTTGGCCCATTGGCATAGACCTATCCAGGGATAGATCACAAAAACATATAACAGTATTTGTAGTTTAATATGGCTTCCCAAATAGTTCATTCATGCTGCAAGACTGGTTGCTTATTTTGTTTTTTAAAAAATCTTGGAAAATTTTTTCACAAAATATAATCTGAATATACAAAAATATAAGTGGAAGTTGGAATAATTTAATGCTAACATTGATGTGGTATGAAATCAACCAGTCTGCCTATTTAATTTGTTGCATACATCAAAATGGATTCAACCCAGTCCACATTCCCTTCTAGAGTATCTATAACATTTTCATATTAGAATGCTTCATTCATAGACCAAAACATGACACTGAAGTAAGAGACTTGTCCTTTCCAAGGGTTAGATGTGAAGTTGGTTAATTGAAAAGACTAGAACTGTTAGAGAAGTTGTAGCCTAAAAATGCTGTCTTCATTCATAAAGTGAATTTCTCCAAATCCTAAAAAAAATTTAAAAAGTGGCATTTGCTTAAATAACTAAAACAATTTTTAAGTTAAAATTTTTGAAATTTGTCTAGGCACACACAGTGGCTCACGCCTGTAATCCCAGCACTTTGGGAGCCCAAAGCAGGCAGGTTAGGAGTTTGAGACCAGCCTAACCAAGATGGTGAAATCTTGTCTCTACTAAAAATACGAAATTAGGGGATTTCCAGCTCTCTGGAATCGCCTCGCACAGGGTAGGAGCTCCCTCCAGGATTTCCCTTCTGGAATCCCCTTCCACACTCTTCCTGGAAGTCTTTCTCTTCTTTTCCTTTCCCTGTCTTTTCTCTACCTAAATAAAATCACCTTTCTGCAACAACAACAACAACAACAAAATACAAAATTAGCCGGGTGTGGTGGTGGTTGCCTGTAATCCCAGCTACTTGGGAGGCTGGGGCAGGAGAATCACTTGAATCCAGGAGGCGGAGGTTGTAGTAAGCTGAGATCATGCCACTGCACTCCAGCCTGGGCAACAAGAGTGATAATCCATCCCCAAAAAAAAAAATGAAATTTTAAATGCTTAAGTTTACAATATTTTGTTTTAATGTGGCTTTGGGATTTTTGACAAATCCCTGTTTGTTTTTTCAAGCCTGCTTAAAGGTTAATTAATTAAAATGGGTGAGTCCTCATGTTTACTAATATGTATTGCAGCTCTGTTGGTACACCAGAAGGCCAGAATGGAACGACTTCAAAGAGAACTTGAGATTCAAAAGAAAAAGTTGGATAAGTTAAAATCTGAGGTCAATGAAATGGAAAATAATCTAACTCGAAGGCGCCTGAAAAGATCAAATTCTATATCCCAGATACCTTCTGTAAGTCTTTATATAACTGTTGTGATCTCTGTGCTTGAACATGACAGTAGGCCATCTAACATAAGTGTAGTATCTCGATCTAGTTTTCTTCAGATGTTCTTAACTCTTATTTGTTTTTCTGTCCTTACTTTCCCCTGCCAAACTCCATTCTTTATTAACTAATGACATAAGAATTCAGTGTAAATCTTACTTACATAGAATTATTTTTCAGCTCGAAGAAATGCAGCAGTTGAGAAGTTGTAATAGACAACTCCAGATTGACATTGACTGCTTAACCAAAGAAATTGATCTTTTTCAAGCCCGAGGTAACGTTCAGTGCATACGTAGCTGAAATTCATTGTATTAATTCACCAGCAGTTTTCTTGTGGCTAAAAACAGACTGATCAGTCATAATCTTACTGTCTCAGAACATGTGGCTTTGGAGCCAGACTTTTAAGAATATATTTTAAAAGTTACCCCCATCTCAATGGTACTGTGTTAATTGATAAAGCAGAGACGATAATAAAAATAAGGTTTAGACATTCTTTGGACAATGATAGTTTTTTATACTTGATCTATTAATGACAGGCAATGATTTCTTATAGTAAATAATGTTTACAATTTAATTCAGTTCCGTAGAGAACTAAAGGAATTTTGTCACTTAAACCTAATTCTGAAGTTGGATAAATAATAAAAAGATATAAAATGGAAAAGACAGGAAGGGGAAGGAATCTAACCATAAGAGAAGTCTTTAATCACACTTTGGACTGTGTTTCAGAATCTACTAAACTGGAAGATGATTATTTTTATCTTTTTTTTTTTTAATGTTGGTTAAGTTGTTTATCTTGAAACATTCATAGAAAAATACCATATTTTAACTCTGGAGAGAAAAGGTCAGTGCTGTTCTAGAAACTACAATCCTGGAACTTATTCTTTTTGTGTAAAATTTTAACCATTCTATTACGTTAGTGCAAGATTTTTATATTTGCTTGAGGTAAAGGTGTTTAGTTGCTTAAATCCATGTTTGAACATTTAAAGTTGCATTTTAAATTGTGAAATTTTAAGTTATTTTAACTTGCCACATAGAACAAGAGTCTACTTCTGCCTCTGTTAATGTCTTGCCAGCCTTAATTTGACTTCTTTTACAATTTGCCACTTAACTGTGTTTATGAGTACTACATTATACCTACGATAATATATTTGAAACATGTTTTGAAATCTTACACGTAATTTGAGATTAGAGGGGCAAAGTAAATGAAAAGCATTTCTTATAGCGTGATTTTTTTTAGAAAGAAATGTTTGTTTTAAAAAGTAAAGTTGTTTTTGAGCTATAAGCATTGATATATTTACTTTTTATATATTTCAGGACCACATTTTAATCCCAGCGCTATTCATAACTTTTATGACAATATTGGATTTGTAGGTCCTGTGCCACCAAAACCCAAAGGTTAGTGTATCTATTAAGTGTGAAAACTGTTAGATTTTGAAAAGCAAATTTTTAGAAAATTTTTCCTGTTCAGCAACCTCCCTCTCTAGAATTGCTTCAAACTTTGGCATTCTTAAATGAATTTACTAAGAAGATGTTTGTTTATTTTCATTTGCATGCTTGGGGTTGGGGAGAATGCAAAAATGTAATATATTTAACTTTTAAAGAGTAATATGCACGAGCTTAGGAATCACTATATACTCCCAACCAATAATAGCAAGTCTTGGTTAAAAAGAAAATCAGTACAAAAATTTGTATTATTTAAAACTAGACAAATTGATAAGGAAGATACCTTAGGGAGGTGTTTTTCCCTCCATGAATATTCTGCTTAATTTATATATAACTTTAAGTAATCAAAATACCCTGAATTCCAGATGAATAGTTTTCTGCCTACTGTCGTTTTACATTATTGATATTCTCAGAGTATATTCACAACAAACTAAGACATGTCAAAATATATCTGTGTGTTTTGATCCAGGTATCAAAATGTATGTAGAAATGGAAATAGGTACATAAGTATCACTGCTGAAGGTAAAGATATAGACATATATGCAGATTAACACTAATTGTGGTATATAATTTACTTTCAACTCTAATAAGAAGGTTAAAAGGTAAAAATTTGTTAATGCATACATAATATTATAAGAAGCAAACTGCAAGAACCCAAAAGTGTGGAAAGGTGGAGGTTATAAAGATATGGTAGTATTTTTGTATGCAACTGAAGTTAAGTTGTTATCAACTTAGAAAAGTATAACCAAATGTCAAAGTAAATCATGATTAAAAATCAAATAACAAACGAAGATAATAGGAGAAAAAGGGGAGCAAAACAGTTGTCAAATAGACAGGAAGCAACAAACTAGCAATAGTAAGTCCTCACTTATCAGTAATTACCTTAACTGTAAGTAGATTAAACTCACCACTCAAAAGGAGTTATATGCATGGATTTTAAAAACGGGATCTGACAGCAGCCAATGGGAGGTCCCAGTGGCTCATGCTCATGCACACAGTGGGAGGGGAGGGAGCACAGGACGTGCACACATCCTCTCCCTCATCCACCACTGCCACCTCCTGCTGCTACTTGTGTGCTCGTTAGGTGTGGACCTACCACCTCTTGTGAAGTGGCAGCTGAGGAGATTCTGGTGCTCGCCATGGCTGTTGAAAAGCCCATGGAAGGAGTCAAGACTGAGAACAAGATCATATTAATTTGAAGGTGGTGGAACAGGATGATTCTTGTGGTGCAGTTTAAGATTAAGAGGCATATCCCACTTAGTAAACTAATGAAAGCTTATTGTGAACAACAGGGATTGTCAGTGAGGCAGATGAGATTCTGATTTGACAGGCAACCAATCAGTGGAACAGACACACCTGGACAGTTGGAAATAGAAGATGAAGATACAATCGATGTGTTTTAACAGCAGACAGGAAGTGTCTACTGAAAAGGGAACCTGCTTCTTTACTCCAGAACACTGCTTTAAAGACCAGGATTATTACTTTCTCAATTAGAAAACTGCAGTTTGGTTCCACGACATCCTGACTACTACAGTATAGTTTACTCTTTCATTTCCCACCTCCGCATTCCTTTATTATACATTAAGTAACTGGTATATATGCACAAGCATATTGATTTTTTTCTTCAAACTAAACAGCCAGTGGTATGTTTTGATTGACATCAAGTAGAAACAGGATGGGGAAAAATACTGATTCTGTGAAAATACCCCCTTTCTCCATTCGTGGCATGCTCATTCAGCTCTTACCTTTATATTCCAGTACGTTATTTTGCTCTCACTATTACAAAAAAAAAAAAAATTCTCTCTTACCTTTTTCAATTGGAGGATTTTAATGTTTTTCATTTATCATTGTGAAATCAAGGAAAATTCTGTAACTTTTTTATACTTAGCTGCCACATGTAGGGCAATCTGTCTTTAAGTAGGGATAAATTACTTTTAAAAAAAGAAAGAATCCTAGATAGTTTTCCCTTCAAGTCAAGCTGCTTGTTTAAATAAACTTCTAGTTTAAAATGAAAGAAGAAATAAAAATAGAAATAAGATCCAATAATATACTATCTATAAGAGACTCATTTTATATCTAAAGACACGCATAGCAGAAAGTGAAGGGGTAAAAAAAAGATTTTATATAAATGGTAGCTTAAAGAAATAAAAAGTGGCTATATTTATATCAGACACAATAGATTTTTAAGTCTAAAACTGTTGAGACAAAGATTATTATATAATGGTAAAAGGATCAATTCAGCAGGAAAATATAAAATTATAAATACACAGCCCACAGCAGACTGCATTAATATGTAAAACAAATATTGACAGATCTGAAGACAGAAATTAACGGCAATGGGAGACTTCAGTACCCCCCTTACGATAGTAGAATATCCAGACAGAAAATCAGTAAAGAAACAACCAATTTGAACATAATGTTAAACCAAGTGGATATAGCAAACACAGAACTTTCTGCCAACAGCAAAAAAACATACATTCTTCTCAGGCACACACAGAACATTCTGTAGGATAGATCATATGTTAGTTCACAAAACAAGTCTAAACAAACCTAAGAAGATTAGAAATCATACCAGCTATTTTTTCTAACCACAGTGGAATGAAACCAGAAATCAGTAACAGCAAGAAAACCGGAAAATTTGTGGAAACTTACACTCATGAACAATCAGTGAGTCAAGAAGGAAATCAAAAGGGAATCTTAACAGTATCTTCAGACAAAAATGAAAACACAGCATACCAGAATCTATGGGAACACAGCTGAAAGCAGTACTAAAAGATAAGTTTATGAAATAAATGAAAGGTACGTTAAAAAAGAAGAGAGATCTCAAACAATTATACCTTAAGAAACTAGTAGAACAACAAGCTAAGCCTGATGTTAGCATAATGAAGGAAATAATAAGGATTAGAGCAAAAATAAATCAAAGAGAATTAAAAAAAAAAACACAAAAAAAGTAAAACTAAGGTTTTTATTTTCTTTAAATCAACAAGATTGACAAACCCTTAGCTACATAAATTGAGAGAAAAAGAGAGAAGACAAAAGCAGAACTGAAAATGGAAACATTAAAACAGATGCCTTAGAAATATAAGGATCATAAGGGAATATTAGGAACAGTTTTATGCCATCAGACTAGATAACCTAGAAAAAATTGATACATTCCTAGAAACATACCACCTGTCAAAGCTGAATCAAGAAGAATTAGAAAGCCTGAATAGGCCAATAACAAACAAGCAGATTGAATCAGTAGTCAAAAATCTCCCAACAAATATCCAGCATGGATTTAGAAATTTTTTAAAAAACTCCCAACAAAGAAAAGCCCACAACCAGATCATGAGTGAATTCTGTCAGACATTTCAATCAAAAATTAATATCAACCCTTCTTAAGTTCTTCCAAAAATTAGAAGAGGGAACACTTCCAAACTCATTCTGAGGCCAGCCTCACCCTGGTACCAAAACCAGACAAAGATACTACAAGTGAAGAGAACTACCGGCCAATATTCCTGATGAACATAGATGCAAAAATCCTTAGTAAAATACTGGCAAACCAAACTCAATGCATTAAAAGGACCATGCACCATGACTAAGTGGGGTTTATCCCTGGGACTTAAGGATGATTCAACATACACGAATCAATTAATGTGATACAGCAAACACTGAAGTAAAATGAAAGTAATAACCATGTAGTCATCTTAATAGATGTATAAAAAGCATTTGAAAAAGTTCAGTTTTAATTAAAACTCTCAACAAAATATGTATAGAAGGAACTTAACACAATAAAAGCCATGTATAAAAACCCTATAGGTAATATAATCAATGGAGAAAACTGAAAGCTTTCCCTCTAAGATTTGGCACCAGCATGGGTGCCATTTTTGCCACTTATTTTCAACACAGTACTAGAAGTCCTATTGTGGTATCCATTTTTCTGTTGCTATAAAGGAATACCCGAAGCTGGGTAATTTATAAAGGAAAAAAGTTTAATTGGCTCACAGTTCTGCAGATTGTACAGGAAGCATGGCACCGACATCTGCTCAGCTTCTGAAGAGGCCTCAGGGAACTTTTACTCATGGCAGAAGGTCAAGCAAGCAAGCAAGCAGAGGCATATCACATAGTGAACAAGAAGGTGGGAGGTGCCTCACCTTTCAAACAACTAGATATTGCATGAACTCAGAGCAATATCTCAGTCATTATTGTGAAACCTCCACAAAACTATGGATGCAGGATCCACCCCCACGACCTAGACACCTCCCACCAAACCCTACTTCTGACATTAGGGATTTACATTTCAATATGTGATTTGGAGAGGACAAACATCCAAACTATGTTACCTAGCCAGAGCAATTAGACAAGAAAAATGTATCCCAATCAGAAAGGAGGAAATAAAATTATCTCTGTTTGCAAGTGACATGATCATATATGTTGAAAACCCCAAAGACTCAACCAAAACAACTGTTAAAACTAATAAATTTAATTTAGTAAAATTGCAAGACACAAAAACAATGTACAAAAGTCCATTGTATCTCTACACACAAGCAACTATCAAAAAAGTAGATCAAGAAAACAATCCCATTCACAATAGCAAGAGGAAGAATACTTAGGAATACACTGAAAATTATAAAACATTGATGAAGGAAATTAAAGAAGACATAGATAAATAGAAACACAGCCTGTGTTCATGGATTAGAAGAAGTAATGTTATTAAAATATCCTTACTACCAAGAGTACTCTACACATTCAGTGTAATCTCTATCAAAATACCAATGGCATTCTTTACAGAAACAGAAAAAAAAAAATCCTAAAATTATGTGGAACCGGAAAAGACCCTGAATAGCCAAAGCAATCTTGGGTAAGAACAACAGAGCTGGAGACATTACATTTTCTGATTTTTTTTTAAATATTACAGTTATAGTGATCAAAACAATGTGGTGCTGACATAAAAATAGACGCATTAACCGATGGAACAGAATAGAGAGCTGAGAAATAAATCCATGCACCTATGGTCAGCTTATCTTTGACAAAGGTGCCAAAGTTATAGTGATGAAAACAGTATGGTGCTGACATAATGTTACAAAGTTATAGTGATCAAAACAATGTGGTGCCAACATAAAAATAGGCATATTAACCAATGGAACAGAATCAAGAGCCAAGAAATAAATCCATGCATCTGTGATCAACTTATCTTTGACAAGGGTGCCAAGAACATACAATGGGAAAAGGATAGTCTCTTCAGTAAATAGATGTCCACATGCAGATGAATGAAATTAAAACATTACCTCACACTGTGTACAAAAATAAACTCGAAATGGATGAAAAATGTAAGCATAACACCTGAAACCATAAAACTCCTAGAAGAAAACATAGGTAAAAAGCTTCTCGACCTGGTCTGGGCATTGATATTTTGGATATGACACCAAAAGCACAGGCAGCAAAAGCAAAAATAGGCAAGTGAGGTTACATCAAACTAAAACGCATCTGCACAGCAAAGGAAATAATCAGCAGTGAAAAGGCAGCCTACAGAAAGCGAGAAAATATTCGCAAACTGTGTAACCCCTAAAGGGTTTATATTCAAAATGTATAAGGAACTCATGCAAATCAATAGCAGTAGAAACCAATAACCAGATTTTAAAATGGGCAAAGGACCTGAATAGACATTTGTGAGAAGGTATACAGATAGCCAACAGGTATATTGAAAGATGCTCAACCTCATTAATCATCAGGGAAATGCAAATTAAAACCCAGTGAGATACCACCTTACAAACCTATGAGAATGGTTATTATGAGAAAGGTGAAAGATTACAAGCATTGATGAAGACATAGAGAAAAGAGGATCCTTATACACTTTCATGGGAATGTAAGTTGATGCAGCTATTATGAAAAGAGGTTCAAAAAATTTAAAATGTTATGGTCTAGTGATCCCACTTCTGAGCATATATCCAAAAGAAATGTGAAATAAGTATCTCAGAAAGTTACCTGCGCTCATGTTGCTTTCAGCATTATTCACAATAGCCAAAATATGAAAACAACCTAAATGCCTGTATATGGATAATGAAAACATGAGAGGCACACACGTACATACTCACACACATAACACACGGTGGAATATTATTCAGCCTTAAGAAAGAAGGAAATCCTGTCATTTGCGATAACATGGGTAAACCTGGAGGATGTCATGCTAAATGACATAAGCCAGACAAAGAAGGACAAATACTGTACGATCTCACCTACAGATAGAATTCACAAATGTCAAACTTATAGAAACAGAGAGCAGAACAGTGGTTCTGGGAGAAGAGGGTATGGAAGATTGTGGTCAGAAGGGTACAGAGTTTCAGCTATATAAGATAACTAAACTCTGGAGATCTAGTGTACAACAGTGTGACTGTAGTTAACAGTAGTTTATTATATAACTGAAATTTGCTAAAGGAGATCTTAAGTGTTCTCACCACAGTGGGGTGGGGGGAAGATAAGCTATATGAGGTGCTGAATATGTTACTTAACTTGATTGTAATAAGTATTTCACAGTGTATACATATGTCAAATCAAGTTGTACAGCTTTAATTTTTAACTGTCAACTATATATCAATAAAGTTGTGGGGGGAACAAAGCAAAGACAGCAAAATAACAGTTTTCATTCATACAAATTCTGATAAGTCAACACACGTGGTGAATCAGGTCAGCACTCCTGGGGTTATATCATCCTCACTACTAGTGTGCTGCAACAAATGCTCAAAACTTAAAATTTGTTCCACATGTTTGTGTTTTCAAATGTCTTCAGAGATAAAAATTATTTGTGTTACTTCTTCCTTCATAAGAAACATTAAGGTTTTTAGAAATATGAAAGTATGAATTATGGATAGGAAAATGTACATTTTTCCTGTGAAGTGAGGACACCCTAAAAAAATGTATGGTTACTGTTACTGAGAAATTCAGTGCCTAACACAGGGGAGGAAAAAGAGAGGTTAAGAAAAAATTAAAACATTTTATGAATCAGGCAGTTGTTCACATGCTTACATACTGGTAGGAATACCATGTTAAATTGGGTTTTAGGCTAGCAGCTGGCAAACAGCGACCCATGGGCCAAATTCAGCTTTCCATCTGTTTTTATCAATAAAGTTTTATTGAAAAAAAAAAAGAAATGAGAACAAGAAAGAACTGGTATGTTACTGGTTCTTCAGTTGGTTACAAGAATTTTTACATTCTCATTTAGTATTGTGTTCTTTCTGCTCCTTCATTTTTATATATAATTAGGTATCTCTCTGTCCTCATATTTTATTTAAATGTTTTTAAACATAGTTGGAATACAATGAACAGTTATTACAGAGGATCATAGTGAGATTAGGGCATTTGGCCCAATAAGCAAATGTTCAGAGACTAGATGCTATTTGGATGGTAATTGAATAAAGGAATAGAGATGACAGCAGTATAAGCACTGACTCTTTAAAATATGCAAGATGGGCATTTCAGACACTGAATGAGTTTCCTTAATATAATCTTCCTACCCTTTTTGAAAAATAAGAATTTTTTCTTATGAGAAGATTTCCGTTTTGCTTCAACGTAATCTGTTACTTCAAATTAATAATAACCTGTTATTTTACATAAGTGAGATAAAATTGGTCTTGACAGTTATTGAAGCAGGATGAGTACATGAAGGTTCATTTTGCTATCCTACTTTTATATATGTTTGAAATTTTCCATAATAAAAAAATAAGAAAGGTCCAAGAAAAAAATCCTTTACTTAAAAGTTTTTACATCAAAGATAGAAGTTTGTATGCTGGCTGTTTTGGGAGAAATAAGGAATCAATAATTTTTTGCAGTAAGGCTAAAATACACATTAACTTCATGAATAGAAATGTATTTAGTCCTTGAAATCAGTTCTGCTTCACAATGTAGAGTTTTCTAACAGCTAAAATTAAATATATTTAGATCATTCTTTATGATCTAATTTCTTCTTTTTTCTAATTTTGGTTATTTAGTTACAAATACCTCTAATAAGAAAAAAATTTATAATTCTAAGTACCAAGTGAGATTGATTATAAGAAAACCACTGGAGATTTTTCATTTTAAAAAATTTATAGATCCTTTATTGATTGCCTTAGGTATTACTTAAATAATGAAAAATATGCTGACATTTAATAGTATGTTGAAGTGTGAAAAGGTACTTCCTTATGGTCACTCTCCCTAAAATTTTAACTTTGCAGTTAAGCAGAAATAGTCAACAAAGTTTTACTAAACTTGCCAGGTGAAAATGTTTTCTAATGCCTAAGACCAAAATTCTAGTAAGTAGGATGGATCCCCAGATTAAAACAATTATTCTATAAAATATTTCCCAGATACAGAATGTGAAATGATTTTACATGATAAAAAGTCAAACTTTTTCTAACTGTATTTCTTTTCATGTGTTTCAGAGCATAGTAACTAGTATTGTCAGACCCTTGATTTTTTTAGTATTCTTACTTAGGATAAGACTTATTCAGCGTGTTTGTTTTTAAATTATTTAATTTGGGGGAAATACTATATAAATACTATTCAAGTTCTGCATGTGGCAAAAGTTGTGACAATAGAAAGCCAACACCTAAAGTTGAGGACTTAGTAATAACGTTTGTATATGATGAATAAGTAAGGTACTGCCAAAAGGGTACAGAGTTCCAGATATCACTTAATTTTTTAAAATTTGTCATAAAATTTGACTACTGTATTTTCATCTACTTGTTATAATAGTCTGTCTTTTAAAATAGCAGAAAAGGTATTAGTAGGGTAGGTGGAATTTGCATATTAATATACACTGTTTTAACATAGCTTTGATTCTTCAAGTTAATAACCTTGACAGGAAAAATTCAGCAGCTCATGCACCTTTTACTTTAAACCTCCCACAATTAATTTGTAGGAATGCTGTTCTAATTTCACTATGGGATCTAAATTTTTAAAAGTAGTTTCATAAGTGTAATTGCTTATTAGAGACAACCTTTGAGGAATATAATTATTCTCTGTATTTAAGATACCACTATCCATTTAAACATTTTAGAACTTTGGTCTTTTAGAGTTACAGTGACCTTTATGTTATAAGTAAGAAACATGAGACCTAGAATGTATATTATTTATCTGAGATCACAGAGCAGAGTAATCAGGAATTAGTAGCAGAGCCTGGAACAAAACTTCATTCTCACAACTCTGAATTCTAATGTTCTTTCTACCCTACCATACTAAATGTGATTTTTAAATATAATTATGGTAAAATTTGTACAGATTTACTTCTCCAGAGTCTGTTGGTAAGATGTTAGAAATTAGTTTATATTTTATTTGTGTCATCCAAGGCTTCCAATTTTGGGCAGGTAAAGAACATGAACTAACAGAAAAACTTCCCTTTCTGGTAGAACAAATATAAATACTACTCTACCCCAGTGGGAAATGAAACTCTAACTTCAGTGAGACTTACAGTACTGTTTTGCAGTGGGATACCTTTTTACAATCCTGAGTGCTATTACGGGAATCTTTGCTATTAGATACCATTTATTCTACTGTAAATTGGAGAAAATGATGCTGTTTTCTCCTTTTAAGGAGATACAGAGGTGATTATATCATATTCATGTTGTATTTCCCAGAGGAAGAAGTGCCAACTAGATAGGGGTTGGTAGTGATCAAGCATGTGTGTCTGTTCCCACTAGATGCGTCATTTGGGGAGCAAACTGTTTAAGGCTGTGCAGTACAACTGGTGTTTAAAGTTGCCTGTAATTTTTTAGACTTTGTGATTTTTTTTACTTAAAAAATAATTTTTTTTCTTTCTTACAGATCAAAGGTCCATCATCAAAACACCAAAGACTCAAGACACAGAAGATGATGAGGGAGCTCAGTGGAATTGTACTGCCTGTACTTTTTTGAACCATCCAGCCTTAATCCGCTGTGAACAGTGTGAGATGCCAAGGCATTTCTGAGCCAAATGGCCCTGTATCTTCCTAAAACCACATCTAAAGTTCCAGAAGCTAGTCTGCCATTGGGAAAAAGTTTCACTGCTACATAGGATTTTGTCAAATTGAAGGTGTGACAAGATGGTGTTGTGCTAATGTTAAATGTCAGCCCGCAGAGCTAATAATACCTCAGTATAATGTCATGAGCAGTTGAAATTCATCACATGAAAAGTAATCTGCTGAAAGACTTGGTTGCCCACTGCCTAACTGTGTACAGTGTTACCAGTATCCCATTATGGATAATTCTCATATGTTAACGCCTAGGTGTTCCCAATACCTTTTTCCCCTCATGTCACTACTGAATTTTGACAGGAGGAAGGAATAGAATGATAGCTTCTTTTATTTGTAAAGCTTTCAGTGAAACACTACATACACGAAGAAAAGGAACAAGGTTTAACTATTTAAGAACTGTTTGCTGCCACATAGTGCCATTGGATAGGGGAAGAACTTCAGAAATCTGTGGTACTCTTGGCCTTGTCTTTGTCTTCCCTGAACATGTCTCCACTCTGTGAAGCCAGCATCTAGGGGCTAAAGATGCAAAGGAAAGCAGCATGCATTGTCTGTACAAATGTGCAGTGAAATACCCCAAAGCTTTTCCTACTGTACAGATCTCTCGAGTCTGCTTTAAGTGATTTCTTTTCTTCTTGATTATTTTCTTATATTTCTATATGTATAGTGTAATAGCCTTTTGTTAACTAATTTTCTTTTTTCCTTTTAGTAATTAAGCACGATCATGTCCCTTTTTAAGCCTTACCTGAGAGGAACAATGCCTTAAAATAAAAAAGCATTAATGAGATGAAACTATGCACAGAATAACTTTCCTCTACTTATTCTGTACTTTGCCCTCATGAGTTCCAATGTTGTGTGAAGACAGACAGATGCTGCACAGTGAATTGCAGATGATATTGTAGAAGTGATGTCTGTAGGGCACATTAAATACTGACTTGAGCAGTGAGTGACACAACACAGTGTTTTTTCTTCCACAGGGAAGCTTAAAACAAAAGATATTTTTAACCCACTGTCAGAACAACAAGGTTAAGCTTGCTTCATCTGTGTGGTGTCCCACAGAGCTTTCACAAGTGAGTGTTATTGGGAAAGTACAGTTTCAAAACCAGCAACAGCAGCAGTACCTACAGCCCTTTTTTTGGAGAGAATTTTAAATGCTTTACTGTTGGGGCAGTCCATTTCTAAGCCTGACTTGGTGACAGTATCATGTATATTTATAAAACAAGGCTAGTCATATTTAGGACAACTGAAGAAAAGCTGGAAAAAAAGAAAAGCAAACTTGAACACTGAAGCAACCTCAAGCATCTCTTTATTTTGATGATATATTTTTGTAAAGACAATAAATATTCAGATGATCAGGAATGTATATAAATGAAATCAAGAAAAAGAAATAACAATATGCATTTAAAAAGACAGAATTAAGAAATTATATGAGTGCTTAGAATGGGGCTAAGGGAAGTGCTGTTATAGAGCAAAAGATGGAAGATAATATAGACTATCACCCACTGTAAATGTTTGCCAGTGGCTGTGTTTTAAATTACAGTTGATCTCTATGAATGTCAGAGCCTTAACTTTCAGGCTTTGCATTTTGTATATGGGAAGAAATATGACAATCCTAGATAATTAAACCATAGACCCAAAGCCCTTATATTTGATGCATTTTGTTTTAAAAATAGGCCTTCTTTTTCAGCTTCATCTGCAGTTCTATGTGAAGATTGATAAATCAGTTTTTACTTGTTTTATTAATAAAACGTAATTTGGATATCTTGAGTTGATGGTTTTGTGATTTAGCTGGGTAAACTATCTTTGTAACAGATAAGTTATTTATAAAAATTAAAAAACTTATATTCTAATATGGATTTTGTGACTTGTTTTCAGTTTGTGGGACAGGAGATAATTTTATACATCAGCGGATCATTTAAGCATTAATGAAAATCAGAGAAAACTTATTCTCTAGAGTCTCCTTGTGACATTATGACATCCAGCTGCATTTCTTAGACTATTTTTATCAATTTCCCTAGACTTCTTTTTTCATAGCGTTTGCTGATGTCCCCATGATGCAGTTGTAGAAAGGTCTGCCTCTAGTGGTCTTTTAAACCTAGTAGGAAGGAATACTCTTTGCCAGTGAATATGAGGACTGGACATGTTGGTCATCTGGAAACCAGCTTTGGGAACTTTTAAGAATTACAGGTTTAAGAACCTCCAATGGCTAGCTGGGCATGGTGGCGCGTGCCTGTAATCCCAGCTACTGAGGAGGCTGAGGCAGGAGAATTGCCTGAACCCAGGAGACGGAGGTTGCGGTGAGCCACGATCCCGCCATTGCACTCCAGCCTGGGTAACGAGCGAAACTCTGTCTCAAAAAAAAAAAAAAGAACCTCCAATGGAAAGATGGACTTCTAAGTATTTTTTTTTGACACAAATTATCCTTTGTATGTTTAAAGGGGTTCAGGTCAGGGGTGGAGGAATTGACAATTCATGTAAACTAGACTTCTCAGGAAAATTTTCATATTAACAAAATATCAGCCAGTATCTTTTTTTTTTTTTTTTTTTTAAGACGGAGTCTTGCTTTTTCGCCAGGCTGGAGTGCAGTGGCACAATCTCGGCTCACTGCAGCCTCCACTTCCCAGGTTCAAGTGATTCTTCTGCCTTAGCCTCTTCAGTAGCTGGGATTGCAGGTGCATGCCACCATGCCTAGCTAAATTTTTTTGTATTTTTAGTAGAGACGGGGTTTCACCATATTGGCCAGGCTGGCCTCCAACTCTTGACCTCGAGTGATCCGCCCACTGCAGCCTCCCAAAATGCTGTGATTTTAGATGTCTTTATAGATTTATTCTGTAATCCTGGGACAGTTCCTTGCTTTTATTGCCTCTCCTTGTTGAGTGACGGTAATTAATGCTAAACCCACCTCACAGGGGTGTTGCCAGGATTAATGTGAAACTGTCATCTGAACCAGCACCTTCTCTGTCACTAGGAACTGCACTTTCCTAAAAGTGGGTCATGTTTTTACAGGAATGGGCTTTGTGTTTTTCTCTCAACAGTATTAACAGATAAGCTTGCTATTTATCTGAATTGGTCTAGGGATATCTCAATGGATCAGAATTTGATTTTCAATCACTGAGATTGAATTTTTCTCTCTTAATGTCAAAGGTTGGTAGCTTTGCAAAGATTATAAAACTTTCGAAGGCTGACCTGAAGATCAGGTATGTTTATATTTCTATTATATGTTCAGCTGTCTTAAGAATGTACATTTTATGATGGAGTAAAACAAACTACTTATCCAGGAAGAACATAGTGTTTGCATGTCTGCATATGTGTTTTAAGCCTAAAATGGACCCAAAGCACACTTCTCTAGTGCCTCCCTCTTGACGGATCTCCCTCTTTACCCCCTTCTACCTCTTCTGAGGGCAGCCTCCCTCTGACATGATGTGGAACCATTATAACTTACTGATCTTATTCCAGAAGTGTTTATTGATCCTCATAACCATGAACAAAGACTGCAGCATCTTCACCGTGGAAATGCTTTCCAGTGGTTTTTGGTTTTTATTTAGAGACAAGGTCTTGCTGTGTTACATGGGCTGGCCTCTTTCTGGTTCAAGCTATCCTTCCCACTTGGCCTTCCAGCTAGCTGGGACTATAGATGCATGTCACTGCACCTGGCTCCAGATGTTGTTTGCTCTTTTAATTTTCACCTTTGAACTCGTCCATGGATTGTTGGTAAACTCCCCCCTTTCACACTGTGACCTAATTGATTCCAAGTTCTTACTCTTTCCTTGCACACTGCAGCTGGATTACGGTGTATTACAGAAATAACACTATGCCCACATGCTCCTCTTCAGAAATCTTTATTATTTCCCCATTGTTCGCTGGGCCTGCTTGTAAGACTGTTGTTTGTTCCTTACCCGTCTCTTCAGGATCATTACTTTCCAACAGAGTCCTCTTACAACTAAATTGGTCTTGGTCTCATCACTTCCCTTAATAGGCCTTGCACATCCCCACCAGTGTACTTTTGTCCATGCCATTTGTTCTGTCTCTGTACTTAAATTTAACCTTCCATTGATCAGATCAAGGGTCACCATCATGACACCTTAACAAACTGTACCTTTTCTAGTAGCACTTGCTATATTTTCTGCCTACTTGGCATTCATTGCTACCTTGACCTCTCCACTTAAATGCAGACATACACTGTTTCATTGTGTGTCACTTCATTACACCTCACAGATGTGTTTTTTACAAACTGAAGATTTGTGGTAACCCTGCATTGAGCAAGTTATTGATGACATTTGTTTCAACAGCATGTACCTCTTTGTGTCTTTTGTATTATGTTTTGGTGAGTCTCACAATATTTCAAACTCTTTCATTACTGTTACATCTGTTATGATTGGGGATCAGGGATCTTTGATGTTACAATTGTAATTGTTTTGGGGGCACCACAAAGCATGTCCATGTAAGTCTTAATTGATACTTGAACCATGTCTGTGTGAGACTTACACTGATACTTGATAATATGTGTGTTCTGTTTGCCAACCAGTCATTCTCCTGTCTTTCTCCCTCTCCTTGGGCCTCCTATTCCCTGAGACACAACATTATTGAAATTAGGCCAATTAACCCTACAGTGTAGGCTTCTAACTTTAAGTGAAGGGAAAAGTCACACATCTCTCATGCTAAATCAAAAACTGGAAATTATTAAGCTTAGTGAGGAAGGCATGAAGCCAAGATAGGCTGAAAGCTAGGTAGGCCTCTGGCACCCAACAGCCAAGTTGTAAATGCAAAGGAAATGTTCTCAAAGGAAACTAGTGATGCTACTTCAGTGAACACAATTGATAAGAATGTGAAACAGCCTATTGCTGATATGAAGAGTTTTAACAGTCTGGTAGAAAGTCAAACCAGCCACAACATTACCTTAGGCCAAAGCTTAATCCAGAGAAAGGCCCTAACTCTCTTCAATTCTGGCAGAAGTGAGGAAGCTGCAGAAGAAAAGTTTGACCATAACAGAAGTTGGTTCATGAGATTCAAGGAAAGAAGCCATCTTCGTAACATAAAAGTGCCAGGTGAAGCAGTAAGTGGCAATATAGAACTGCAGCAAGTTATCCCAAAGATCAAACTAAGATAAGGTGGCTACATGAAACAGCAGATTTTCCATGTGAATGAAATAGCCTTCAAGTGGAAGAATTTGTTGAGATACCATCTAGGACTTTGATAGCTAAAGAAATCAGTCACAGTTAAAAGAACTAGAAGAGCAAGATCAAACAAATTCAAAAGCTAGCAGAAGACAAGAAATAGAACTAAGATCAGAGCAGAACTAAAGGAGATAGAGACACAAAAAACCCTTCAAAAAATCAATAAACCCAGGAGCTTGTTTTTTGAAAAGATAAACAAAATAGACACGACAGCTAGCCAGACTAATAGAAAAGAATTGAAAAGATGCAGTAAAAAATGATAAAGGAGATATCACCACTGATTCCACAGAAATACAAACTACCATCAGAGATTGCCACAAACACTTCTATGCACATAATCCAGTAAATCTCGAAGAAATGGATAAATTCCTGGACACTTAACACCCTCCCAAGACTAAACCAGGAAGAAGTTAAATCCCTGAATAGACCAATAACAAGGTCTGAAGTTGAGGCAGCAATTAATAGCCTACCAACCAAAAACGTATCTCAAAATAAAGCTATTTATGACAAACCCACAGCCAATATACTGAATGGGCAAAAACTGAAAGCATTTCTTTTGAAAACTGGCGTGAGACGGGTGCCCTCCATTGCCACTCCTATTCAACATAGTATTGGAAGTTCTGGCCAGAGCAATCAGGCAAGAAAAAGAAATAAAGGATATTCAGTTAGGAAAAAAGGAAGTCAAATTGTCTCTATTTACAGACGACATGATCGTGTATTTAGAAGACCCCATTGTCTCAGCCCAAAATAGCCTAAACTGATAAGCAATTTCAGCAAAGTCTCAGGATACAAAATCAATGTGCAAAAATCACAAGCATTCCTATACACCAACAAAAGACAAACAGCCAAATCATGAGCAAAATCCCATTCACAATTGCTACTAAGAGAATAAAATACCTAGGAATACAACTGACAAGGGATGTGAAGGACCTCTTCAAGGAGAGCTACAAACCACTGCTCAAAAAGGTAAGAGAGAACACAAACAGATGGAAAAACATTCCATGCTCATGGTTAGGAAGAATCAATATCATGAAAATGGCCATACTGCCCAAAGTAACATAGATTCAATGCTATCCCCATCAGGCTACCATTGATTTTCTTCACCGAACCTGAAAAAACCACCTTAAACTTCATATGAAACCAAAAATAGAGCCTGCATAGCCAAGACAACCCTAAGCAAAAAAAAAAAAACAAAGCTGGAGGCATCATGCTACCTGACTTCAAACTATACTACAAGGCTACAGTAATCAAAACAGCATGGTACTGGTACCAAAACAGAGATATAGACCAATGGAACAGAACAGAGGCCTCAGAAGTAACACCACACATCTACAATCATCTGATCTTTGACAAACTGGACAAAAACAAGCAATAGGGAAAGGATTCCCTATTTAATAAGTGGCGTTAGGAAAACTGGCTAGCCATATGCAGAAAGCTGAAACTGGATCCCTTCCAATTTCATAAGGTGTATAATTTTGTATACACCTTATACAAAAATTAACTCCAGATGTATTAAAGATTTGAATATAACACCTAACACTATAAAAACACTAGAAGAAAACCTGGGCAATCACATTCAGAACATAGGCATAGGAAAAGCCAAAATAGTCAAAAGGGATCTAAACTTAAGAGCTTCTGCACAGCAAAAGAAACTATCATTAGAGTGAACCAACAGA